CAGAACTAGTGCGTTTTCTTTTGTGGGAGCTCTCAATGCCCTTTTACATATTCCATAGACACAGAGTCTGCCTAGTTGATCATGTGGGTTTAATCTGCAGCCTGTACAGCTGGTGGGAAGGTTTTGGGTCTTCTTCCTTAGCCACACTGCCCTTGGATTTCAATTGCGGTTTTATTTCCACCTCTGCATGTGGGTTGCCCACTGGGGTTTGCTCCTGAGGCTGCCCTGGAGGACTTGGGTTCGCCCCTGCGAGGGCCAGGCGTGGAGGTGGGGCAGCTGCTTGTTTTGCAGGGGTTCTGGCAGCACCAGGTACTCAGGGGAGTTGACGGCGAGGGCAGCAGGAAATATAAAGCTCCAGAAGGGTATGGCAATCAGTAATGGCCAATACGCTCCAGTATTCTTGCCTGGAGACCCCCTCCTGACAGAGAAGCCTGGCAGGCCACAGTCTACAGGGTTGCAAAGAGTTGGACATGACTGAAGCGATCCTGCACGCATAGACGCAAGTCTTTTTTTGCCTGTGGCAGCTCTCCCCAGTGAGAGTTGAGCATGAAGGGGGCGCAGCTGCTTGGCTTGCAGGGACCCTGGTGGTGTCAAGTGTTAGGGACATGGACTGCTTCCACCACAGGAGTTATGGTCCAATCAGAGTCTTTTTCCAAGCCTCTTGTAGCTGGTGATCAAAAGGCCTCTTTGGCCAGTCTTTCTCTGTAGCTCCACCCACTCAGGTACTTAAAGAGCTCCCTTGCCTGAGGTCCTTCTCTATTTTGGCGCATCAGGCACCTAGAGGGGCCCCCCTGGCTGGGGTCCTACTCTGTAGATCTGCGTGTCAGGCACTTAAAGAGGCACCCTGGCGGGGGCCTACTCTGTAGTTCAGCGGGTCAGGAGTTTAATGCACCAGCCTCTCTATTGTTCAGCTGCAGGTGCTGGCAAGTGGGGAGAGAGAGGCTATGATGATGGCTCCACCCCTCTACGCATGACTCAGCAGTATCGCCTTGCTTCCGTGGCTGCCCAACTTTCTTACACAGGCATTTCCCACCACAATCTCCCCCATCTCGTCCCCGTGATCCCTCTCTCCTCAGTCAACAGCAGCCCTCACCTGTGTCCCTGTCCGGGGTATGTATGGTTGCAGCAAGGACTGTCTGATTCTCATTCCATTTAGGCTGCCAAAGATCAACTGTTTCACTCTCAGCCTTAAATGTTTCTCCTCTGATTCAGAGAATAGCCCCGATGTACAGATTAGATCCCTGCTTCAGGTCCTCCACCTGCTGAGGGCAAGTCCAGTCCTACTAACACTCTTGATTTTGCCCCTAGTTCCTTCGTCCTACCGAGTGTTGCATGGTTCTGTGAATTCTTTTCCGCTGCTCAGGTACTCCTGTCCACTCCTAGCTGGTGTTCTGCATGCATTTCTGTGTCTGAAGGTGTATTCCTGATGTATCCATGGAGAGAGATGTACTCCATGTGCACCTACTCCTCCGTCATCTTGTTCTCTCCCCTTATTGTGTTTTAATTTCTATTTTTCTGGTGACATAGGATGTGATGCATCTTTTCATATGCTTGTTTACCATCTGTATATCTTCTTTTATAAGGTGTCCATTCAGGTCTTTGGCCCATTTTAAAAATTAATCCTGCAATACAGAAATGGTACTTTATTTTTATGTTTCTAGAAGCCAGTGCAGCATCCAGCGTAGAGTAAGTTCTTAAGGAATATGTGTCAAAAGAATAAGAATGAGCAACAAAAACTCATTTAACACTTAAATATATTTTCTAATAATTGTACCCCCATAATGGGAACACATCCTAATTAAAGTATATAGTTAACAAGGCATTGTTTCTCAGTTGTCCAATATGTAAAACAAGGAGGTTAGATGAGTATCTGTCTACTCTTTGCAGTTCTTACATTGTACCTTTTTCTAACGACTCTTCAATGAGAAACTACCAATAATATCATCAAAGCAACAGGTTAAAAACAATCCAGAAGGATGGTTACCCCTTGGCTAGGTCAACAAATGCTATCTTCCTACATACTAAATGTACAACTGTCTAATTCCACAATTTAAAGGGTACCTTCAAGTCAAAGATCCATAAGGAACATTCGGAAGTCTAGACCATTCTAAAAAACCAGGGCCATGTACATTTTTGAATCCTGGTTACATGCTATTAGTGATTTAATGCTGAGCCAATATTATAAGCTTTGGGTCTTTACTTGAAAGTTACAACAAATGTAACCCGCAGCATAAAGCAGCGACTTGGAGTCAGATTGCCTGGAGGCAAATCACTGCTCCTGCAGTTACTCACCGTTCTGTGCTGTGCTTAGTCGCTCAGTCGTGTCTGACTTTGTGACCCCATGGACTGCAGCCCTCCAGGCTCCTCTGTCCGTGGGGGTTCTCCAGGCAAGAATACTGGAGTGTGTTGCCATGCCCTCCTCCAGGGGATCTTCCCAACCCAGGGATCAATCCCAGGTCTCCTGCGTTGCAGGTGGATTCTTTACTGTCTGAGCCACCAGGGAAGCCATATTATTGACTTACCATTATTTAAATTATTTTCTTGTTTACTTAGCTTTCAGTTAAGGGGATTTTCGAGATGAGAGGGTCTTCTACCATCTGTAATCTCCTTCCATCTGCCTTCACAGAACAACCTCCTCACTGGACCACCAGATGTCACTGTTTCTGACAGTTTCCAACTTCTTGACCATCTTAAGATGACACGCTGTTTCAAAGGAAAGATGTGTGACATTTCAATGAGAGGAAATGTTTTAATACTATGGAATTTTCAATAAAATTTCCTGAAAGCCATATACAACCATTTAAAAAATATTTTTTTATGTATTACTCAAGGAGTTCATGTTACACTTGCCACTTCTGAGATAAAGTTGATGATAATGAGGATCTGAGAATGACTTCTATATGGATCATTTTAGATTTATTCATTAGTTAAACCATTCAACAAAAGCCACTTTCATCAGTGGCTATGTTTAAAATACTTAATAGAAAACTAAATTCAATTGAAGGTGGATATCACCTCTAGATGGGCTTCCCTGGTGGCACAGATGGTAAAGAATCCGCCTGCAATGGGGGAGACCTGGGTTCAATCCCTGGGTTGGGAAGATCCCCTGGAGGAGGACATGGAAACCCACTCCAGTATTCTTGCCTGGGAGAATCCCCGTGGACCGAGGTGCCTGGCGGACTACAGTCCATGGGTCGCAAAGAGTAACGACTGAGTAACTAACCACAGCACAGCACAGTATCACCACTAGATAGAGGCTAATAACAAACAAGAGTTACAAATGGCTCAAACCTATTTAAGAGTGACAAATATTATTTAAACAAGGAGAAATATTACGTTATGGAAGTACAGCAAAGGAAAAGATGTCTGTTGATAGGGGATTAGGAAGAATAATATGGAGGAGAAATATTCACATGAGATCCTAAAGAACAATTAGTATTTGACATAGGAAAACAGGCTGGGGATGATTTTTATGTGCAAAGATATTTTTACTTAACATAGTAAGAGATTCATTTAATCTCATGTAGGATATATAATAGAAAGTGATAAAAAAAGTGAAACTATACGTTGGGATTTGATTGAGTACCAGGGAATATGCTTTAGAAGAGTAGCAAAATAAAGTGAACACTAGAGATTTGTACAGAATGTTTGAATCCTAGTTTAGGCTTTTAACTATTTAAACTTAGATCAAACACCTCCTACCCCTTTCTGAAAAAGAGAGAGAGACAGAGACAGAGAAGTAGCGAAAGGCAGTGGTGGTGGGTTTCTTGAGCTGCAGTCGGTTTTTTGATTGATAAACCTGGGCAAATAGCACTGTTGAGAAGTTGAAAAGGTTGAGGATAATTCACTGTATGGCACTCAAAATCTGTAAGCTATTTCTCTACTTTAATCTGTAGATGATAATTCTTCTGTTATCAGAAATTATATTTTTATTTTGAGTGGAAAGGCAGAGACAAACCAAAGGTGTATAAGAACAGATTCTCCCTTTTTCCCTGAAAGCATGTGGAGACCTGCCTTGGGACAGACACCTTGTGTCTGTGGTTGAGCCAGGCATTTGTATAAGTGGAGCAAGTGGCCCTGTAAACTCCTGGTACATTCTCAGAGGTGCTTAAGTATTTGTTGAGATGCTTAACCTGCAATGGTCAGTCTTAAGCCATAGGTACCCCTTTCATGTTTCCACATGGAGTATTCTCCAGTAGAGAATACTCCCATTATAGTAATTAGGCTCTTTACCACTTTCACAAACTCAGAAAATGTTCCCTGTTTTGAGGATTTTCAGAAGCCATCTCTTTTTGTTTTTAAGAATGAAAAAATTCATTATTGCTTTCTCTTTAAGGAGATCTTATGGTTACATGTTTTGTCTTTTCAATTAAAAAAAATAATTATAGATCATGTGAACCAAGTAGTCATAACCGAGGCTGGAAAAGAGAAAATCTTCACACTCCTTATGGAATAGCATGGCTGCTCTCATATTGCCTTTAGTGTCTTGCAATGATTCTTTTTCTTTGTTCTGAAAGACAGAGTTTTGCCTTCTTTTCAGAGACTATTCTGGAATATTGTAACTACTAACTCATTTTTTTTCTCTCTGGGATATTTCTCCTGACAGACTAAATTTTCTTTTCTGAATTTCATATCTACCTCTATTCCCTTGAACCAAGCTAAATAATTCATTTCATCCCCATTTCAGCTTTTTATAACACATAACCTGTTATTCTACTCCCAATTTGCTCTGCTTTAACCAAACTGCCCACCTTTAGGAGTTTGAATCTTCCTTTATTTCCCTCATCATTTTACTCTTAATTTTGTTACTTGTGCCACTGTAATATCTACAGTGAAAAAGGCACAAAGAGTTTCCAAGTTTGAAAATTACTTTTGTGGCTATTGTTGCTAAGGCAACCACTTCACTGTATCCTTGTTTTATTTAGCACATAGAGTCCTTTATGAGCTAGATTTTGAAGAATCTCTGTTAGATTTCTTGTCTCCTTATCTTTTTCTTTTAGAAAGCTGGACATCAGTCTCAAGGAGAAGTTAAGGAAAACAGTAACTTCCCTGAGCATCAACTCTGAATATGCAGAGCTTATGAAACATCCAAAGGTAAGTGAAGACACTTGCTAGTGAAATATTTGGAATAAGAGCTGGGGAACTCATATATTTCTCACTGAATTTTTGCATGAGCCTAAAGGAGTTAACCTTTATGAATATTATTTAAGCTTCATTTTTCAACTTAAAAAATGGTGGTAGCCTATCTCACCAAATTATTCTTTACAGCCATATCCATTCTTTGACATTATAGCAGAATGTTCTTCCCCATAAATATCCTTATGTTACTATACTTTAGGAAATGTTACACAATTATGAAAATGCTATACAATTATATATTTGTATATTTATATTAACATGCTACACACATTCATTTAAAATTTACCTTGAATGGTTTTCAGTTACTTCAGTTAACTGGCCAGATGCTGGTTTGGTTTTTTTTTCCTGTCAAATTCTTTCAGAGAAAACCACAGAAATCTAAGAACATGTATCTAACATTTGAAAAAAATAAATAAATGTTTGTTGATTGCAGTGACTTCTTATGAAACAAATCACTACTTTCAGCCTTTAGCTGCCCAGATTTTTATATCTTTGCTTCAAAGAGCCAGAGGCAGACTAGATTAAAGACAAATGAAATAAGCCTTCTTCAGTTATCCCTAAGCATGTGTAAGTGTTCCCCATGGGCAGGTGGCTACTTGCGGTGCGGAAGTTCCTTCTGGCATCTTCATTGCACATCCCGCCCTCTATTATTCCCCTTCATTGGTTTGCATGCTCAGTGGGCGGGGGTAGGGGGTATTTCTGCTCACTGCATCTATCTGTTTTTGCACAGATGAATATTTAGATAAATTGGCAGGTTCTTATTAAAACTGCATGCTCAGGTGCTCAGTAATGTCCGACATTTGTGACCCCATGGACTGTAGCCTGCCAGGTTCTTCTGTCAGTGGGATTTTCCCAGAAAGAATACTAGAGTGGGTTGCCATTTCCTTTTCCAGGGGATCTTCCTGACCCAGGGATCAAACCGAGTCTCCTGTGTCTCCTGCATTGCAGGCGAATTCTTGGCTGCTGAGCCACCTGGAAAGCCCATTAAAACTACAAAGGAGTTGATACTGGTCCATTCTAACCCTTCTTCAATTCATCTGTGGCACACCTGTCCACCTTCTTTACACCACCTACTGTCAACCTCTCTCCCACCACCCACAAAACAGGGACCTACATACTTGTCATATAGTCAAATATCCTACAGTACAATTACAATAGATTATTTGCCTTCATTTAAATTTTTACTTTTCAATTCCAGAAAAATTCCATTTCACTTGCTACTTTGAACTTGGTCCTGTATGAGCCTTTCGTATCCATTAACATATCAGTGAGATTGCGAAAAATGGTTTATCTACATTTTTTTAAAAAATCACTTTTCTGAAATCTTTTTTAGAGACTAGCATATGTATGCACCCACACAAACAGTTTTCCCCTTCTCTTCCCACCCCTACTCTGAAATTTGAGAATCTATTATGTTTGGGTGGTTTGTGGGAAAAGGCAACTTCTAATTACTTTTGCTTTCGTTTTCTTTGAAGTTACACAAGGGTGGGTAATGTTCTCTGAGTGCCTTCCCACTCCTGATCCCCAACCATTCCCAGGGAGTGATAACCCCCAGATATGGTTGTGCATAGTTCATCTCCCAGAGCTGATAGATACATAGGGATGTGTCTCAGCATCTAGTCTTTAAGGGATTTACCTGACTTTGCCTTCCTATTACCTCTTAACCTTCTTGTTCCTTAGTGTACACCAGCTCCCTTTCTTTCTATTCTCTGTGGAGGTATCTAGCAGCATTCACTATGGTTGTGCCTCAGGCACTGTGCTGAGCATTGGCATGATGACAGAAAAGAAAATTTGGTCTCAGGCTTAATGAAACTGACAGCATAATTGGAGACAGGGACATAAGCAGGTATTTGCAATGTGTTGTACAACAATAGGGCTAAATTCAAAGGATTATAGAGGCTGCCTAATTCATGGAAAGTGAATTAGAGCTAGCCAGGAAATGTGGGGACTTGGTCAGAAATGACCTGTGAAGAGGAACAGCAGTTGAAAAGGCCCAGGGGTGAGCTGATGGGAGCCAGTGGGCAAATTGGTGGGAGAAAGAGGTATTTCTCTATGCCAGGCTTTTCTTTTCACCATGAGAAATGCTTATTAGTAGTTAGTTTTAGTATAATTTTAATACAGCTATAAATTCTACATGCAAAATTATTTTCAAGGTGGAGTATTCATGGGGCATAGTTACTTCTTCACCCTCAATAGCTCCTTTTCTCCAACTGAAGTTGTTATAAAATAATCTTCAACTAGAGAGCCTCTTTTGTTTTGGGACGTTCTTATTCCCAATGCTGTGGGTGTAAATTTGGATAGCTGAAATAATATAGTGAGATGTGGACTATGAGTTATCAAATTGAATCTGTACAAGTAAAGAATAGAGAGAATCCATAAAATGCAATTCTGAAATTAATCAGTCCATTGGAGGGCTTTATAATGATAAAAACCAGCATTTGCATTATTTAAGCATTATTATTGGCAGATGGACCACACTGTGCTTCAAACAGGACTCACCCTAATGGAGAATAAGATTAATCACTTATTGAAATAGTAAGGATTGCACTAGAGCAGAGCAAATGAAAATAAATCTCAAAAGAAACCAAATGGGTATTATATGGGCCAATACCATAAGTTAATCCTCCCCCTTTTCAATCCCCAAATGCAAATGGCAAGTTGTTTTAAGGCAGAGTCTAATCTCTTTTGCATCTGTTCTCTAAAGCCTTGTGTTAGACAGATATTTTACTGCAGAACTGGCACTGAAACAGGTTCAGGAAAGTGAAAATCTAGCAGTGAAATTGAATCAAAGAATTATGAAATTTGATAATCGTTTTTCCCCATTTTTGTATTTTTTATGTCAATTTCCTGATTTTGAGGAAGAACCACAGCAGTAAAGACACACAGTTGTCATTAATGGAAAATGTTACATTCTTTCAAGGCTTTTTTCTCAATAGTAGTGTACTGGAAACCTATGAAAAAGGAACACAGATCCTGAAAAACGGAGTACCTGAGTACCAGATCCCTATCCTTGACTAAGCACAGACCGCAGTGTGCAGTCCCAAAGGCAAAAACAATGTACACAAGTTGAAGTAAGTTGGGATTAACATTTAACACTCCATTGCTAGATGGAACATTACTCCAAACCCCAATTTAGTTTCCTAGAAAGCTAGGCTGAACCACGTGAAAACATCTTGTTGCTTTGACATAGATGCCTTTTACTTAAAACCAAATTTCTTCAAAGGAACTTTGTATCTCACTTAAGCTCCTTCTGAATCTTGACTCTTCACATTATAACTGTGAGGAAGCTGGCCTAGAAAGATGAAATCAGCAGCAAAAGGAAGCCTGAAGAAATGTAAAGGAGCTGGGACAGAGATGCTAGGGCTTATCTCAAATATTACTTTCTTATAAGATACCGGCACTCTACCCTTCTGGAAGGAAGAGCATTCAAAGACCAGAAAGACACATTTATTTTCATCCAGGTTTGCTTATATCTATAGTACCTTTGTCAACAAAGTACCCTCAGTTCCTAACTGTGACCACCCTCAGGGCAAGAAGCAAAGCAAATCCTTGTCTCTGTTCCTTCAAGATTATTGGAGTATAAGATGAGGATTTAGGAATTAGTGGTTATCAAAATTTCTGTGCCCTGTTTAGGTCTGCATGAAAACTAGCATTGACTCAGCATCTTGTGTGGGGGCCTATGCACCAGACTTCCCCACCTCCTTACTTCTGGTTCACAACATGTCAGAATTGGAAGGGGCATGAAAAGGTAGAAAGGTAGTCTAGATAATGAAATGCTTAGATCCCTTTTACTGCCTTCTTGCAAGGTGGTTACCATTTCTCCTTAAATACTTCTTGAAGAGTGAATGAAGACAGGAAAGATGAAAGAGAAAGGACATTTCCTGGTACTGTATAGCAGGCTTTTGTGCTGAATGATGTATGTATTCTACCACTTAAAACTTGAGTAAGTTCTGTGAGTCCCTGTTGCAGTCAATAAAAATTAACATATAAGAAAAGTTCAGTTTGCTGAGAGGTACAAGTATAAACAGTCATTCTGGTATTAGATATCCAGTCTTTCTAGACCCCAAAGCTCATTCTTTTTACACAGCAACCTTTACATTTTAATCTATGGAACACTCATACTTGACATATTTAAAGGTATTATTGAAAAGGAGTGATGAAGCAATTTAGGGAAACACTGGGCTGAATGATGTGAATGCATTCTTTTTACTGCACATGAAGTTCACAGTCTTTAAAGTGTTGATATTCTGTTTCTTTCACACGTGATAAAAACTTTCCAGATTTATTGACATTTTAAGCAACCTTCACAATGGCCCTATGGTCATGTACTCTTACCCCATTTTACATAAGCAGGAACAAGGGTGGGTTGTTTTGCTTTTAGTCACCCAGTTGGTGATGGTAAGGCTGCGATTTTGAATCTGGAGCATGAGATTCAGAAGTCTGAACCCTTACCCAGTACACAGTACTGGTCCTCTCTATGGCATTTGATGTGTCCTTAGCTTAGCTGTCACAAGCAACCTGAGGAACTACTGTTCCTTAAGCCAGCTCCAGTGCCCAGTGCAATTCCAGAGAAATCTTCAAGGATAGGAAATGTACCAATGTATCCAACAAAATCCATATAGGCTAACAGCGACTGTGAGGTAGATACTCATTAATATTTCATCAAGTAACTGACCATTCTGGCCATAAATTGCATTAATAGCTATATTTTCAAAAGTTAAAACTATTATGGTAAACATTAAAGAGAGAAAATTTAATGTAATTATTATTTAAGGAAGCAAAATTTTCATTAGTAGCTTATTCTTTGTGATAAGAACTTATTTTTTGTAATAAGAACTTATTTATAAAAATGGAGGCAAGCCCTGATTTGTTTGAAACTTTTAAAACTTTATTTTTTGGTTAAAAAAGTGATAGTTCATTTGATAAAGTTAAAGCAAGCCATTCCTATTTCTACA